TCTTTTATTTTCATTTAATAGTTAATATAACAACACTAATCATAACCCCGCCGCGTCTAGGAGGATATTTAGTTTAAATTCCGCATTGGATGCTATCCAACCAATCCAATATTCAAAATTACCGTAGTCGTTGTCAAGGTTGGACGATCCGCATGTTGTGAACGAATTGTGATCTACGCTTTGCCAAAGTCATCGCCGCCTGAATCGCGTTGGTGCTCGTGACGGATTCGTCATTATGAGTAATATCTAATTTTAACCGCTACATCAAGCTCATAGTGATCAAAGATCCCTGAAGACATGAATCCGTTAAGACCTGTGGCATAATAAAATGATCCGTTGAGTCAACCTCCTCCTCTGGAAGTGATTCCCGCATAACGGTCTAATTCCATGGCGGTTACGGAGGTGGGGATCGTGGAAGGGAGTTCTGGGGGAGACTCATGTATCCCCTTGGGGTTTCGATTTTGCACCGCTGAGTCGATCTTTGATCCTGATACAGCTGCTCATTATTTAGATCTAGAGGATCAGGGATTACCAGCCTGCTCGTCGACTCCCAATCACATCGCTCAGAGCGACCATATAATTGCTTCTCAGAAGGTTGTTGCCAGCTCCTCTGGGATGTAAATCCTCCACGCTCCTCCGTGAAAGCGTTGACATCCCACGGGCGGAGGAGCTAACATAATGCCTCTCAAAGCAGATATAACACAAGCTGTGTTGTGTGGCACAAATGCCTGCCGCTTGTCGGTATTCAGGTTGTAGAACCGCATGTATAAAGCCAATATAATACCACCCGCTTCACAAAGAGATACCATCTTTGATCCCACTCCGCTGCATTAACCGCACGTGGCATTGGGTTCGATTGCCGTAGCAGTGATGGAGGAATTACGATCCTCCGAGAACTGCCGCTCGCACGCTGGTTGGGTGTCACCCAATGACCCGCATCACCACTCGATTACCGCACATCTCTTAGAATGTTGTAGAGGAACTTTCCTGTTCGAGAAACTCCACGAGCTGGTCGAAAGTTGGTAGCACTCGCGGGTCGCTACCGTAACTTTATTCGAATCACGTTTTGAACTCTATGGGAAGTTTAGTTACCATTACATAAAAAAATAGGTGTGACCACTCTCCTATCGGAAGTCTCAACCTCTTCAATGACTTGGAGGTCATCAGAACAGAGTTGACGAAGTCTACCTGCAACGCTCAAAAGATTTAAGATCTACGAGATTAGGGAATCCGCTAACCGCCGAGTGTTCTGGTAACGACGCTGCAATAAATCCCAAACGATTGAATAAGAGCCATCGATTATGTTATCGTATGAATGTACCAAACCTCTCTGTTTCGCTGAGAGGCAGGACAACAAATATGCATGGATTCGCTTCTAGATCAGCTTGCGAATCGACTAAGCTGTCAAATATATTTGATAAACGACAGCCAGTCTTGATCTCGCCCTTTAAATTGAGTCAGATTTAATGTGGGTAAGCGCGAAATGAAGTCCCCCCCGCGTCTTTAGAGCTGGTCGAGCTCGGACCCAGCTCAGCTGTACGTTTTGATTCCTTTCCGCATTCTAAATCGTTCAAGGCTAGTATGATTGAATGCGCTAATTTCCGAATTATTAATCCGAAAGTCCGCATCCACCTTGGTCAGTATTGACTCGTGTTTGGGCTTGGAATCGTCCAAAGTCCCCAGCAATGCCTCGAATGCTTCCATGAAACAAGTTCGATACTCAGCAAAATCTCGTACCGTGCTCTGCAATTTATTTTTATTTTCTGATTAAATCAAGCTATCAGTAATCTCAATGCTTTGATTTTAAAACCGCTGAATGTTTTTATACGATATATTAGACGTATTACATTCTAGACGTATATATACCAAAAAGGAAAAAAAAAACCAAAATTATGAAATATATTCTTGCAGTACCTCAATATATTTTTGCCGAAGGCATATGAAAATTAATATGACACCCACATAAATATTTAATCAAAATATCTATTTTATGTAAAGAAAAAACTAATTATACGATTGCTCGCCCGCGTGTATCTTTTGTGAGGACTTATACGAGAATAATGCAAAGAAAAAATAATAAAAAAAATTATGAAAAACAAAAAACTGTAATATTGCACGCCCACGGAATCATTTTCCGAAGATACCTAACAAAAAATATACTGCAATGTGACAATGATACCCGCCGAAAATATGTAACAAAAAACAAAACATTAATTTATATTAAATAGTGTTATTTTAAATATTGTACATTCGAACCAGCATGTAAAAAACAAAATAAATAAAGAATAAATTAAATTAAATTATGAAATTACTATGATTTTCGACGAAATTTAGTATAATTTGACAGCTCAGCAGAGCCTTACTCTGAAGCACCATGCAAGACGACTATTTATAACTGGTTTGCAGAATTCGAGCGCTGTCGAGTCAGTTTCAGTGACTTTTGTGATGGTCGCCCGTCCACCGCTGTGAAAAACAAGAACATGGATGCTGTGTTCCGTATGATCGAAACAGAGAAGTATGTGATCTATCACGAGATTCGGGCATTCTTAAATACAGGTATGAGTCAAATACTATCAATCCTATTAAAAATTTGGGTATGAAAAAGCTGTGCTGACGGTGGATCCTATACAATTTGACTAAGGCTCAAAAAACAGACCGCGTCATTTAGCGCAACGCCATGTTTATCAGATTCAAGTGTGGCGCATCAAATTACGTCTGGGACATAGTAACAAGTGAATTTATCGATACGACCCCAAAAAAAAGCAGCAATCGACCGTGTAGATTTATAGACATGAGCCGAAACCAACTAAAGTGGCGCGCGAGCGAAGTGCCTCTAAGCGGATGATTGCTTATGTTCCATAATAAAACTGTATACGTGGCTACTATAGCTTTGAAGCATTGTGTAATTGTGCCGCATTACATTGGCTTAGTCGCCTGCGTGAACATACTCTTGTCACTGTCAAACACCCGACTTCGTTAACAGAAGTCAAATGACAGTCGCTATCCCGCATCTTATCCACCTAGCCCCGCATCCGTCAGTTATATATGGTCTAGGTAATCAAATTATAAAATTACAGGGATGGGGGGAGACGTAAGAAGGCATACATATCGTCATTCAAGATACATAAATTGCAGGTTTTGCACAATTACTTCTTATGAACAGCGAAAAGTACCTCTTCAAACATTAGAAATTTCAACATTTAAGATGACCTGAATTTATAAACCAGCATTGTTCTCCTAAATAAGCAATTCAAAACTATAGTACATAAATCTATTAAGAGATGTGGCTGCATCATATGCTATATAGGTCCAGGCAAAGAAAAAGCTACCCAAAACATATTTAATTATTTTAGACTTGTATGATTACATTAGAATTCATATTCTTCAAATCAAGCCAACAACGTAAGGTCTTTGCTAATATTATACATACGTATGCGTGGACGCAGATTACGCGCGCTGTCACCGTCTACATAATAATTGGCAGTATTCAGGGCTTGTTCAACAGACTCAAACATTTAGACCGCGATTCGGGTTCGGCCCTAACCAGCGCCTAGCTTTCCCTAGCGCCAATCTAAGACAAAATGCTTTGTATCTTCGAGGTGCCCTTATAAAAGCAGTTCCTTCTTTTTAGTCTTTGCAGTTTATTCCGGTTAAGCTGTAAAAGCTTTCAAGCTTTAACATAACATATACATTTACAAGTAGAGGTCTTGATGGCACAGAATGTTATATTCCTGTGTTATCTTTGTACGGGAAAATTAAACTCAGATACAGGTCGAAATGGTAAAAAAGTGCCAATTATTGTTTAAATGCAAATACTGAGTTCACTTAATTTACTCCGTCAGTAGTCGTTTCTTGTTACAAGGGGTAACAAAAAGAAATACAGCCTTGGAAATGCTGGGGTTCGAACCCAGGGCCTCTTACATGCAAAGCAAGCGCTCTACCACTGAGCTACATCCCCTGTTAGTACAACTTATAATTACAGCAATATTTATTTTTTATTTATCCCTCATCGGACAAATGTTTTACTACTATTAATTTACTTTTAGATTTCAAGCGTAAAATTCAATAACTTTTTAACAATTTTTAAAGTATAATTACATTAAGGTACAATGACTAATAAAATTTTACCAATTGTATAAAAATACAGATCCACTTTGGAGATGCTGGGGATCGAACCCAGGGCCTCTTACATGCGAAGCAAGCGCTCTACCACTGAGCTACATCCCCTGTTAAAACAACATATAATTACGACAATACTTATTTCTTATGTGTTCTTCATCTACCGACTTTTTTTCGATCGATTACAGGTCATTATGATGTAATAGCTAATTACGTATTTACCAATATAAAAAAATCAAGATCCTAACATTGGAGATGCTGGGGTTCGAACCCAGGGCCTCTTACATGCAAAGCAAGCGCTCTACCACTGAGCTACATCCCCTCTGATGACAAAATATAATTACAGTAACACTTATTTTTTAATTGTCCTTCATCTGCCAAGTGTTATATTAATTACTTTATAATTTTTAAAGAGTAAGTATAAAAATTCTAATCCACATTGGAGATGCTGGGTATTGAACCCAGGGCCTCTTAGATGCTAAGGAAGCGCTCTACCACTGCGCTGCATCCCCTGTCACGGTACCATATTATTACATAAAATCCTAATTTCAAATATATTTATTACTTTCCAAATGTCTTGTTTTAATAGTTTTGTTTAGATATGACCATAAACAGCATTTTTATCACTTTTGAAATAACCTTATGATGTAATGGCTAATTAAATCTTTATAATCGCATAAATATCAAATCCACATTGGAGATGCTGGGGATTGAACCCAGGACCTCTTACATGCTAAGCAAGCGCTCTACCACTGAGCTACATCCCCTGTCACGGCATCGTACCATTACAGTAAACACTTAACTGTTTCACAATTATTGCAAGAGATTGTGATGTAATGGCTAATTAAATCTTTATAATCGCATAAATTTCAAATCCACATTGGAGATGCTGGGGATTGAATCCAGGGCCTCTTACATGCTAAGCAAGCCGCTCTACCACTGAGCTACATCCCCTGTCACGACATCGTACCATTACAGTAAACACTTAACTATTTCACAATTTTTGCAAGATATTATGATGTAATGGCTAATTAAATATTTACCATTATATAAAAATTCAGATCCACATTGGAGATGCTGGGGATTGAACCCAGGGCCTCTTACATGCTAAGCAAGCGCTCTACCACTGAGCTACATCCCCTGTCAAGACAACATAGAATTACGACAATACTTATATTTCTTATGTGTTCTTCATCTACCAACTTTTTTTCGATCGATTATAGGTCATTATGATGTAGTAGCTAATTAAGTATTTACCAATATATAAAAATCTAGATCCACATTGGAGATGCTGGGGTTCGAACCCAGGGCCTCTTACATGCAAAGCAAGCGCTCTACCACTGAGCTACATCCCCTGTTACAACATCTTACCATTACAGTAAACACTTAACTATTTCATAATTTGCAAGAGATTATAATGCAACGGCTAATTAAATATTTACCATTTTTTAAAAATTCAGATTCACATTGGAGATGCTGGGGATTGAACCCAGGGCCTCTTACATGCTAAGCAAGCGCTCTACCACTGAGCTACATCCCCTGTCACAACATTGTACTATTACAGTGAACACATAACTATTTCACAATTTTCGCAAGAGATTATAATGTAATGGCTAATTAAATATTTACCATTACATAAAAATTCAGATCTACATTGGAGATGCTGGGGATTGAACCCAGGGCCTCTTACATGCTAAGCAAGCGCTCTACCACTGAGCTACATCCCCCGAGATGACAACATATAATTGTAGCATACATTTTTTTTTTATATTTAATACATGAGTTTCAAAATGTTTATTTCAATAGATTAATTTACATATTTGAACTGGATCGGGCATACATACGGGCGGATTACTTTATGGCCTGAGTTACACATTGGTTCAGGCACTATTGTTGTCTGCAGAAGCAGAGCTTTGTAGAATGTCGAAGTTGATAATAAGACCTCTGAACAGTGGGTATCTCTAGAGATGTAGAGATTTCCGAGATGGTATAACACGTATATTATGGTTGCTAATAGTACAAGCTCGATGAGAGAATACAGGTTGCATTCACATCCATTTTTATATTATATGCTATGATTTTCGGTTTCGTTCTTCAAAGAACGATCAATATGATCTTCATTTTGATAAATTAAATTATTATGGTACCGTCTGCTACCTTCAGTCTGCTACGTTCTTATAGTAGGGACGCAGGTTTGGGACGGTGAGCTTGTTGACTGTTTTGTGTGTAGGAAGCATTTCATCAGGGGCACGGCCCTAATATGTTTTAGGGATTGGGTAGGCCGGGCGTCCAACATTTGGTCGAACATCTCATAATATCTTACGAGAGCACAGGATCAATCCATGCTGGGGACCTTGAGATCGGCGACATAAGGATTTCACGCGAGAAGGGTTGGCCGTCGTCAACGTCTTGAGATGCGGATTGATGTTTTGAAGAAACTAGAAGGGGCACCGATCAGCGAAGCGACGAGCGATTCATCTGATGAACTTATCTGTAGACTCTTCGCGGAGATCACGAGCGATCATCTCATTCCTCTCCCATGATTATCCGCAGAGTGATGTTCTGCTGTAACTAGATCCTACCACGTTGAGCTGTGTAGGACAGTGCGAACCACACCGTTACGGGATACGTTAGTCTGAATCGGATGTAACCCTATAAGGTGAGCTTGGTTAGGAGCTTGGACCGGATTTATGGGCGTGGCATTCCATGCTCAGCTCTGGTCTGGTGGATATGTTACACCTGAGCAGCTATGAACAGAAGATATTCGATATGTATACATTGATCATCCCCGGCAAACTTGTACATCTAAGTACGGTACTTGGATGTACCGAACTCTAGCCTGCCACTCCACCTCCTGTCCCCAAGGACACCACAGCTTAAGCTCCAAAGCTTAAGCTGTGGTGGCGTAGTGCGTTGTAGGAGGGTCAGTATTGAGAGCGTTGTAACACTCTAACAAGCGGTGACTCCTAAAAATTATCGTTCTAGACTGGAAAGCATACCGTCGTGAAAACCATAATTTCTGTAAGTAATCGTCTCTTCAAAGGATTACAGAGTTTATCCAGTAGATATGTACGATGAATGTTGAAAATTTAAATCGTGCAACTTCATAGTTTTATTATAAATTTTTCATGAAACGTTTATATTATTCTTATATATCAACAAATATTCATCATTTGTAAATGGTAATGTACAATACTTCGATAAAAAAGAAACACTTATACTAATTATAGCAAAACATAACTCGCATGTTCATGTTATCTATAGAACGGGCGAGCAGATTTTTTCTTCACGAAAGACATAACAATGTAAACATCCTGTATATAAATTGTTAAAGAAAATAATAGCGTAATGTTAATTATTTTTTTAAAGTATAAATATAAAGATTTATATTGAAGATGCTGCGGATTTAACTCAGGGCCTCTCACATACTACACAAGTACTCTACCGCTGAAATACATCCCGTCATGGTATCACATTATTACAGCAGACATTTCTTTATTTGCTATTGTATACAATGTTATTTCACAGAAATTAATTTTATTTGCCTGCGATATGAAGTAACAAGTAGCATGCAACCCACCGCTGACCCTAAAATCTTTCTCACACTACGAGTCCTCATCTAACAAATAAAATATTGATTCAAGAGGATTCGCAGATATTGGACAACTAAGCAAGTATTACTTTTCTGTCAAACTTAACAGCTAATTAATTAAGTACAATTTCTAGGTACGTTGCGAGCTAATATAATATATCTTCAAGGAAATGTATACAGGCAAATCCACTAGGGTGTCAGGAGCGTTTAAACAAATATCTAATGCGTAGGAACACGCATTAGATATTTGTTTAGTTTGGTGGTTAGTTAGGAACTACCACGATGGACGCACATTCATCCAATGAGTGAAACGCTAAAGGTGATAGAAGTCCCTCCACCAGCAGTCATAGATAGTTGCTAATAGATGTGCTTCGGTAATTTGTGCTATCACCGAATGATTGCCCAAATTGTTACAGACAAGCGTCAAACAACGCCGATTTATAAATATTAATTCTGTTATTAACCATATTATCAGGGCCTCTTACAAGCAAAGCAAGCGCTCTACCACTGAGCTACATTCCCTGTCAAGACGAAATAGAATTACGAGAATACTTATTTCTTATGTGTTCTTCATCTACCACCTTCTTTTCGATCGATTACAGGTCATTTTGATGTAGTAGCTAATTAAGTGTTTACCAATATATATATAAAAATCTAGATCCACATTGGAGATGCTGGGGTTCGAACCCAGGGCCTCTTACATGCAAAGCAAGCGCTCTACCACTGAGCTACATCCCCTGTCAAGACAACATAGAATTACGACAATACTTATATTTCTTATGTGTTCTTCATCTACCAACTTTTTTCGATCGATTATAGGTCATTATGATGTAGTAGCTAATTAAAATCTAGATCCACATTGGAGATGCTGGGGATTGAACCAGGGCCTCTTACATGCTAAGCAAGCGCTCTACCACTGAGCTACATCCCCTGTCAAGACAACATAGAATTACGACAATACTTATATTTCTTATGTGTTCTTCATCTACCAACTTTTTTTCGATCGATTATAGGTCATTATGATGTAGTAGCTAATTAAGTATTTACCAATATATAAAAATCTAGATCCACATTGGAGATGCTGGGGATTGAACCCAGGGCCTCTTACATGCTAAGCAAGCGCTCTACCACTGAGCTACATCCCCTGTCACGCCAGCATATTATAACAGCAAATACTTCATATTTATTAATCATTTTTTCTTAATGTATTATTTTAATAGGTTTGTTTAAACGCGATTGCAAACAACCTCTAATATCACCTTTGAAATAAGCTTAAGGATGTAATGGCTAATTAAATATTTACCATTATATAAAAATTCAGATCCACATTGGAGATGCTGGGGATTGAACCCAGGGCCTCTTACATGCTAAGCAAGCGCTCTACCACTGAGCTACATCCCCTGTCACGGCAACATTTTACGACAGCAAACACTTCTTTATTATTCATCTATAAAATCTTGTATTTTGAATGAGTTCCTTATCCATTTCCAGTTCAAGAACCTATGCAACTATTTTAATAATTGATAGATTACTAATTTTTTAAGGTCATCATGAAGTGATGGCTAATTAAATATTTACTACTACATAAAAATCTAGATCCACATTGGAGATGCTGGGGTTCGAACCCAGGGCCTCTTACATGCAAAGCAAGCGCTCTACCACTGAGCTACATCCCCTGTTATTATGGGGTTCTCATGAAGAATATCATCACTCCTAACAAAGATAAACCAATAAATTTCAATCAGTGTTTGTGCGATATGTTGTATAGATAAACTACCATAATTCAAAACGAAACAGTCGCTTTTTGTCCAGTGAGCAAGCGTTCGTAGTCCAATCCTTCTCCATCATCCCACTCCCTTTCCATCAAACTCACCTCTTTTATGTATCATATTTCTACCTGAGAGACCAGCAACGCACTAGTGATTTCTCTGTCTTTGCGAGTGTCCATGGGCAGCGGTGACCATCCGTTGTTTGAAGGCTCACCTGCTCGTTTGATCCTCTAATACGCTGTAAAAAAAATCATAAGGTAATGAACCTTCGACTATTTCCAGTAGTATCTGTACATATTCATTTACATTTCTTCTGATTTTTTGATTTATTCTTTAGATTTTTAATATATTAAGGCGTCAAAATGATATTCAAACGAAATCTGTAAATTAATTTAATAAACGTTACCAGTCAGTTAAATAGGAATAGGATATCGGATGGAGGGGGGAGTGGACTGATGGACGGGGAGGGGAGGCTGGGTGGATCGAGGAGTGGGATGATAGAGAAGAAAATGGTACACCGGAACTTTCATTCATTGGGTGAAATATAAAGTGGAAACAGCTATATTCACGTCTATATTCTGTGACAATGTTGT